AAAACAAAAAAGGGAAAGTGGTTCCGGCCAAAAAAAAACAATATATAGACTGGGAACAAATCAACGGGCGTAACCGGTGTGTAATGCTAGTAATAATATAGTCCTGAAACATGAATGTGTGCCAAATCCGTTGCGTTTGAGTCAGAAAACTGCAAAGTTGTATTCTAGTATGTTGCATAGATCCACTTCTGACCTACATATTTTGCCACTTTTAATTCAGAGAAAGCTGCTGTGTAGGCCTACTTAGAGTGGATATGAAACTTCTGTTCGTCGCAATCGCCTACTATGTACATTAGTTTTCGTCAGTTTTTAAAAACATTAAGTTTAGATCTGTATGCTTTCTTAACTCTCCCATAGCACTGTGCTTAGATCTGTATGCTTTCTTAACTCTCCCATAACACTGTGCTTAGATCTGTATGCTTTCTAACTCTCCCACAACACTGTGCTTAGATCTGTATGCTTTCTAATTCTCCCATAACACTGTGCTTAGATCTGTATGCTTTCTAACTTTCCCATAACATTGTGTTTAGATCTGTATGCTTTTTAAACTCTCCCATAACACTGTTCTTAGATCTGTATGCTTTCAATTACTTTCTAACTATCCCATAACATTGTGCTTAGATGTTCATATTTTCTAACTATCCAATAACACTGTTCTTATATCTGTATGTTTTCCATGTATATCTTCCCACAGATTCGACAGCCTGAACACGCAATGGGGACCTCAGATTTTCTGCGACTTCACCACATTCGTTCCCGTGTCTGTAGCCATTTTTTCTGTCATTATCGGATGGTCAACGTTTACTATCTGGCCTGCAATGTTGTCCATGGGGTAACTTGTAAACTATCTAAAGAAAATAGAACAAATACAAAATAGAGCAGTGAGATATTTTATAACAAACGAATTTTCCAATTTAATTAGAGTAACACCACTAGTAAAATCACTAAACTTAGAGACCCTTCAGGACAGAAGAATAAAAAGTGAAGTAGCTAGTGCCATTAGAGAATGGAATGGGTTGCCTGAATCAGCCAGTAAAACCAACGACTTAGCAGAATTTAAGTCATTGGTTAAATTTCATGACTAGATAATAAAAATTGACACATAAAATGCGTAGGACGTAATTATCTGCTTTTTTTGAAGTAACGTCTGTAACATATAAAATAAGCCTGCAATGTTGTCTATGGGATAATTCGTTAAGCGTTTACTATCTGGTCTGCAGTGTTGTCCATGGGGTAACTTGTTAAGCGTGTTTTTATTAAGTGAATCATTCTGTTGTGTGTATCTCTTATCTCTACGGCATACGATTAATTAATTCACTCTTTAAACGCTAAACCTTTTCCGTCTGAAAGTAAAAACGACGATTGTATATATATATATATATAATCTTGTGCTACAAAATGCCTAACTTGGCTACCCTTTAGAGCCAAATAATAAGCTTCAACAATAAGCTTCGGACAGGAGGGGCTCGTTAGTATTGACTGGTTATGCACACATTGGAGAAGGAGAAGGAAAACTTGAATCCAAACCACTGCTGTTGTGCGGCTATACCCAAACATGGGTAGGGCTTCAGAAGTCAACTCTGGAAGAACCTGACTGCGTCGATGCTGCTCCCTAACTGTATCGGCACCAGCTGCTTGGAGAGGTGGAGGGAATAGCTGTGTGGGCGTCAGCGTTCAAAACTTAGCTGATCCCCGGACTTACAACACATTTCTATGAGACGATATAAAACCTCTTCGTGACTGACGGAGGCCATCGAAGGGTCTAACGCCGTTTTGCAAAGGAAGTTGGCCGACTTTTTTTTCTGCCAGAAAAATCTAGGCGTTTAGTATTTAATTGAGACTTCATGGTGGCGTACTTGTTTTCAGCAAAGGAGGTGTGCTAATGATGGTCTATGTCTCGATGTGTGTCATCAGCCTAGTGGCTATCTCTACAGCGTGTGCACTGCTCAAAGTAGGGTATGAAAGCACGTGTTCCAGATCACTCAGTATACAACTGGGGTAAGAGATTTGCATAATAATTAAGACAAAGACATACATTTATTATAGAAAGACGGAAAGATGATTGAATGGACGGATGAGAAAGATTGACGGATGGCTGAATTAATGGATCAAGTCAGACGGTTGGATATATGGTATGGATGAATTAAGCAATTGAGGGACGGATGAATGCATTAAGACAGAAGAGATTGTTGAAAGCTAAATACATATTGCTAATATTTAAACGTAGCTTATAATGTGACTTACAAGTTGCTAGTTTCCTATTTGATCCTAGTTCCTACATAGTTTCTTATTTGATCCTAGTTCCTACATATTTTCTTATTTGATCATAGTCCCTTCCCTACCCTTTGGGAAGACATAGCCCTGGACCGCACTACGTGAAGAGAGATGGTGACCAAGAAAACTATGGATAGCGTAAAAACATCGGCCTCGGCTCTGGAAGAAAAGCGTGCCATACGAAAAATGGCAGTTTCCTCTACCACAAAAGCGAAAGCCACCTAAACCTGAGAGCGTTTTTCCAAAATAGGGCTCCTCAGTCACATGAAACAGTGTTCTACGAGACGAACCAAAGTCTTTACGACTAAAGGAGGCCAACATAATCACTACATAGTTTCTTATCTGGTTCCTACATTATTTGGTTATAGTTCCTAACGCTCACATAGTTTCTCTTATCTGGTTCTAGTTCCTACATAGTTCCTTATTTGGTCATAGTACATAACATAGTTTCTCTTATCTGGTCAAAGTCCCTAACATAATTTATCTTATCTGGTCATAGCTCCTACACTGTTTCCTGCGAAGGACTGGAGAGTATCACTATCTCAGAACTGTCAAATAAAGCCTTAGTCCAAGACATTCATCGCAGCATGCGCATAGCTCAGGTATGGATTTTAATACGATTTTCTTGAACACAACACAGTCTATAGCTAACGTCACGCTTCCAGGTTCAAGCTCTGTTCTCCGCTATCCCCTGCCATCCTCTATACATTCCCGTCATGCAAGAGGTACGGGCTAGGGCGTAATAATCTTTATTGCTGAAGGAATGTCCATAGGCGTTCCTGTGTCGGTACGCGGGGGGTGCGAACTGCACCTGGTTGGCGATACTATTAGGGTATGACACCCAGAAGGACAATCAGTTTTTTTTTTTACAAAGCAAACAACTTTTTGTGTAAATTAACTGTAGCTAGTTACGCTCATACGGGAAAATTTCAATTTAATATCCAAACCGTCATTCTTTATATCAGGTGCAAAACTTTAATCCGAACGTTCAACTTTGTGCAAACGGTGTGTATTTTAAAAACTGTTTTCAAGCAAAGAACGGCCTGCCATGCTATTGTAGTACGGCCTAGTCACTTTGTGTGCAAGGGTTGAAGAAACACTTTACAAACGCTCGTCAAACTTTGAATGGTGGGAAATAGAAGCAGCTGGAATTCCCTGCAGTAATCGGTTGATGTGACATGATGAACATGTTGCATAGATTGCATAATATCACACTGTTACTAGCAAAGCAGAATTTAATAATATTATCAATAATAATAATCGCAATTATCCGTGAGAAAATGTGTTTTTCAATTATGAATTACACTAACAATACATTGTAAGAGCAAACAATGTATACAATAGTAAACAACATAGACGTTCATATCAGTTATTAACTACAACAATAAACAGTTTGGTCCCATACCTAGTAACACTATTGAAACAACTGATTCCTAACAGCTCGGCGCCTGGTGCCTGGTCTGTCTCTCCTCGGCTAAAGTCCTGGTCAGTCTGTACACTTTCCTGATCATCTGGTTCCACTTCCACTACGCCCCGTTTTTTATGGACGACAGTGACACTATCTACGTCGAGAGCATTGAGTCACTTTAAGCTACTCTGGCGGCTGTGCCTTTAGTCGGGTCGTGAAAAGCAAAGGTTCGAGTCTTTGTAAAAGTGAAGCTCTTTTGTCTTGTGACTGCATGCAAACCGGGAGACATTGATGTGCAATAGTATGTATTAAATAATGATGCAATTATTCTAAGAAGTTTTGTTGTTTTAATTTTATTATATATATTTATTAATTATATATATATAAATGTTAATTGGCCATTATGTTACTTGGAAGTAATTGCACAACACATGTTATGTGGAAGTAATTGGTCAACACATGCTACTTGGAAGTAATTGGTCAATACATGCTACATGGAAGTAATTGGTCAACACATGTTATGTAGAAGTTAATGGTCAACACGTTACTTGGAAGTAATTGGTCAACACATGTTATGTAGAAGTAATTGTTTAACACATGTTACATTGAAGTAATTGTTCAACACATGTTATGTGGAAGTAATTGGTCAACACGTTACGTTGAAGTTATTGGTTAACACATGTTACTTGGATGTAATTGGTCAACACATGTTACACTGAAGTAATTGTTCAACACATGTTACTTGGAAGTAATTGGTCAACACATGTTATGTGGAAGTTATTGGTCAAGACATAACATGGAAGCAATTGGTCAACACGTTACTTGGATGTAATTGGTTAACACATGTTACTTGGATGTAATTGGTCAACACATGTTACCTTGAAGTAATTGGTCAACACATGTTATGTGGAAGTTATTGGTCAACATGTTACAAGGAAGTAATTGGTCAACACATGTTATGTGGAAGTAATTGGTCAACACATGTTACATTGAAGTAATTGGTCAACACATGTTACTTGGATGTAATTGGTAGACACATGTTATGTGGAAGTTATTGGTCATCACAGATGGCATGGAAGTCAATGATACATAGAAGTAATTGTTGACTTGTTGGTCAACACATGTTACGTGGAAGTAATTGGTCAACACATCAGGTTACCCCAACAGTCCAGCTTATGGTACACTGTGATAAGTCAAAATGTTAATATTTTTAAAATAGAATAAAAGCTTAATCCTCAATGGACCTGTATGATCATACTTCATGTATGTTCTAGTCAAAAGAAAACTTCTCTGATGACATGTTTAATGTAAGCAACAACTTGTGGTCAATTTATAACAACAGAAACAAAAGATTTGGAGTCATAATAATAAAGCTTCTTTTATTACAGCAATCTTTTTTTCAAATCCATTTCTGGTATCTAATAACAATTTGTACAGAAATATAATCAAGACCCTCAAGATTTCATTGGATCTTATAGACTTTTGGACATTTAATACTTGCAATGTTTGAGAAAAAAATAAAAAATAGAGGAAAATTTAACTGAATATTATTTAGAAAAGGATGTTAGATAAAATAAGAACATCTCACTAAATTATCAAAAACTTTGAGATCAAGCTTATCAAGAAAACTAACTAACCTTGACTCTAACCCTAAAAACTTCATCAACTCTAAAACTAACCTTTAATACAGGTATGTCTCAATCTTTAGCATTTGACCTCCAAAACCAATTAAAAAAAAAAAAAGATCACAATGAGAGTTTATGTTCAACTACAAGCTACCAATAAAATTGATGAAAAACTTGTTGGAAATCTTGACTGACATGACATTTTTACTTGACAAGTCAGATCAAGTTTGCTCATTCCAAGGGAAATAAATCTTCAAAACAGTAAAATTTTCAAAATACCCGTACATTCATGAATGGCCAATGGACTACTACCAATTAAATTTTGAAAAATAAAAAAAAAAACATTTCAAAAACTTTTTTTTGCTAGGGTTAACAATCATGTAAAGTATTTTTTTGACAGTACTATTTAAATCCCTATTTGTAATATTCTAATGGCAATAAATTGCAAAACAGCTCCATATAGGAGGTTTTGTTAGCTGTTGTCCATTAGTAGATGTAAACCTGACCTCACAACTAACATTCCCAGAACAACGGCTCTCTCAACATTAGATTAATGCAACACACAATCATTCAACTCTAGTGCTCTTTAGATAATAAAAAAAATGGGACAGAATGATTTGGTCAGGATGAAAAACTGAATCAGAGAAAGAGAGAATAGTATTTTTTTTTTTTGATATCTTAAAGAACAGTGGACCAGAAGGATGGAAAACCTCCCAACTGGTTTCCCTTTAATACATACACATAAAGAAATTAACTCTTCCTGTTAATCAGTTAATTGTAACCTCTAACTAGTTTCCCTTTAATACACACACACACAAAGAAATTAATCCTTCCTGTTCAATGTGGCCATCAAACATGCACTTGTCCACTCAATGAACTAGTGACTGAACATAGCATTGCTAGATGTCTTAGGACTATGTGAACAACACTTCTCTGAGGCTGAAATCACAGGAAGGTTGGGAGGACAAAAACTGAAACAGGACTGATCTTGAATATCATGACCTCATACTTTAATTGACTATTCATGACATTAGAGGAGCGGGGGAAAGGGGAGGGGGGGGGGGGGTTGACAAGATGGTGCCACTACTAATGGCTGATCTAAATAAAGATAACTTGCTATCCAATGCACCACCAGCACAGAAAGACCTAAATCTAAGTTCATCATGGCCGAGATGCACATAAATACAGTTTTATAGTTATGTCATTCAGCCATATAGACCTGATGTTTTAAAAAGTTTGGTGGTTATGGCTGCAGAGAGAAAATGTCTTACATTCTATTCAGCTATGAATCAAAATTATTTCAGCAACAATCAATGGTACTGGCATTAGTATTGAGTATTTAAATATATAAAAACAATTTTAAATACATTACATAAAACATTTAGCTGTACACAAGCAAACAAACAAAAATATTCACATTATTAAACTGAGACTAATCACAAAGCATTGAAGGAAAGGGGGGGGGGGGGGGGGGGTATATTCATAACGATAAAATTATTAGGGTTTCATAAGCCCAACACTACTTATATTTACAGTCTTTGTTAAAACAAAAAAAAAATGCAAGGCAATACACACATTGCAATGAGATAAAAATCAGTTACCGGTACTTTGAAGGTGGTCTTGTCTATAACAATTTGTGCTAATGAGAAGGGTAAAAAATAATTAAACTTTCAATATGGTTTGATCAATAAAAGGAATTTGATCACGTTTCCTTCCACACATCATGGCCTACACATCCCCATCGCTGAGGTAATACAGGATATTTCTTTTTATACCAAAGCGTTTAATTCACAGTATCTATAGTTTGACTGAAAAAGATGATCCACATGAACAACCTTGCTCTGCTTTGGGATTGTTTATGATACGGAAAGAAGATCTGATCAGTTCATGGTAAAAATCAAGAGTCGCTCCCCGCACAAAGTCTAAAGACATTTTATCAATGACCACTTTCACTCCATCTCTCTCAAAGATTCTGTTGATGAGAAAAACAATAGTAACATTAATTCTAATCACCTACAAACAAAAAATATTTATTAAAAAAAAATAGGTATACAGTTAGTTGTAAAACATTATATTAACATAACATTATATTTAACAAAATCTAGTAAACTAACTAAGTCCTTAGATCAATGCTAAAATTTAAATCTTGTTTGGTATTGGACTAAACGTTAAAAGAAAAACACCTGGCTGTTGAATTGAGTGTCTTGAGTTCAAATCTGATGTAGATTAAGAATATTTAATTGGGAATATAACTCTAGATAACCTGTTTCTCTAAAAACAGTACAAGTACAGAATTACAATTACAATTCATCTTAAAGTCTGTTTGCATAGAGAGATGACATAACAAAATACAGGGAAATCCTGTGAATTTTATTTTAAAAACTTACTAACAAACACACATTTGTATTTAGTGAACATCAAAACGGAAATCAATCATATACAATTAAATGGAGAATAAAATTGAATCAGAAACAATTTTCCTAAAAATTCACTAATAAAGAAGAACATAATTCTATTCTGTACACATCAACTTTTACTTTCATACTCACACATCTTCCTCTGTGATTGTAGGCTCCCAGTTAAACTTGTACTGAAATCCTGAGCATCCACCGCCTTCCACTAGAATTCGCAAATTGTTGACACCATCACTGATTTCTTTTAACCTCTAGTCATTAAAATTTCAAACAAATTTTTGGAATTATTTTTTTTTTAAAACACATCATATCATACAAAATAATACAAAGATTTTTTTATTCATTTGATTTTCTTTTGATAGTAAACTTTATATTTGGTTTGAAAGGAGTTGACTTGAAATTCATCGATGATTTTATTAACAGTATCTTAAAAAACATTCCATTTTATAATGCATTCAATTTTTAAACAAAACATTTTCTTTGTTTACTTATCTGATGCAGTTATATTTTTTTTTATAAAACAAAAAGATTAAGCCTACTCACAATTATATAGTAAGGGCAAACAAAACATGATTATTCAAAGCAGCAGAATTAACTCTTTATCTCCTAATTAAGGATACCTTCATTTGTATTTGTGTTATATAAAAAGAGTATGCATTCTCCTATAATTCTATACCAAAACGTTTTCTGTTTACAAGCGAAAATGCTGTAGTTATTGAAGTTTAATCATAACAGGGTAGAATGTACAAATGTGAAAAATGAACAATTCTGTCAGAACATGGAAAATAATTACGGAGATAAACAGTTAACTCCAATGACCTAATACTGATATTATTAATATTATAATTGTAATTCTCAATTCATTTAATCTTAAGTTATTTACTATTATTTTACTTATTGAAATGATTCTATAAATAGCTAGTTGCTAAGCTGGATATACAATGCATGATTTAGAGGTTATGACCTGGGCAATTATAACAATACATCTAAAGAAATCAGACTCCTTCCTTCACACCTGCCACAGAAAAATTATCAAAACCAAATGGCATTAAAAGGTTTTAAATATAAAACTGCTTTAAAGAGTTGATCTACATCAGATAGCCTGGAGCGCAGATGGCGTACACACCAGAAGTAGGAAGAAAGTATAAAACAATGTAGCATGTAGTGATTTTGAATGCCTAACCTGTGACTGTGAATATATATATCAAGTATTTGGTCACATGAAAATTTGCAAAGGGAAAAGAACGTCTCTCAAGACACAGAGTCTCTGATGAACATGCAATTATGATGAGCCCATGTCTAGTGAAGTAATGAAGACAAGGCTCATAGGTTGGCTAGAAAAACCCTTGAAGACTATATTCCAAGACTCCTTGTGATTGTTTAATATTAAATAACAACAATTCTTTGGAACTAAATAGCAGAACGAAAGAGTGTGCCTTAACACATTCAACTACTACAGAAACTTATCCTTGCAAAAATGCAGAATAAAAATTTTCAAAAGTCACAAAAGTTTCTTTGTTTTATAGTTTTCAGACTTTCATTCAGAAATAAAGATTATTATGACATAGCACAAACTTCCGGAGGGAAGCAGGCAAAGTTCAATGGTGACGACAGTCTGAAGTGTATACCACATGACCAGGCAGTCAGAAGACACATGCCTGATTCACATCCCCCAAATTATCAATATTGGCTCACCCGTGAAATCTGTGCATGTGGAGTGTCACCAGAGAATGCTGACCATGTCCTTCAAAACTGCAATCTTTTCCAAGAGGCCCGAACAAGACACTGGCCCCAAAACACCCCAATAGAAAGAAAACTATATGGAAAGTTCCCTGATTTGGAAACCACTGCGCAGTTCATTTCATATATTGGTCTAGTCATCTCAATGCTCTTCTTCTTCTTCTTCTAGCCAGCTTTTTGCTGCTGAGCTGTCAGCTCTTTTGCAGACTGTGCCAAGGAAAAGTAGTGTGCTGTTTACTTCAGTTGTTCAGCACTGCCGTACAGGGTGTTGGTTATGTTGGGCTGGAGTGGTAGTAGGATCTGCCTAAGGTGGATTAGGAAGGGGCATTCAAACAGGATATGGTTTATGGTTTCATAAGGGTGGACGCAATGTCTACAAAGGGGGAGTTGTGTGGGATTTATTTTAAGATGGTAATTTAACAGAGGTGTGTGTCCTGTCCGTAGTTGGAAGATTGTAGATTGCTCTTTGCAGGGGAGGAAGTTAATACTGTCCAGTTTGTTAGGCATGTTTATTTCTTTGTACATGGCTCTGCCTGTGTTTCCTGTTGCCCATTGGTTGAGCCACTCCTCTTTGTGGTTGTTGATTAACATTGACCTTAGGGTGAGGTAATTAACAGGTCTATCTGGTTTTTCCATAGATGATCCTGCCTTTGAAAGCTTATCTGTTCTTTCATTTCCCATGACGCCAATGTTTCCAAGGATCCACTGTGATGTTGATGTTTGATTCTGGCCCCAAAACAGCCCTATAGAAAGAAAACTATATGGAAAGTTCCCTGATTTGGAAACCACTGCATAGTTCATCTCATATACTGGTCTAGTCATCTTAACGCTCCAACATAATAATGTGAACGAGGAAGAAGGCTCACCATGCAAAAAAAAAAAAAAAGGTAAGAGTACCATAATGTGAATAATTGATGACATGTAAAATCTCTACCTTTACACAGCTATCACTTATGTGTAGTTCTTCATCAGGGTCAGACTTTGGTAACTCTGTTGTTGTAGCCAAAGATTTTGAGCCTATGTCAGTAGATGAAGGGATTGCTTTCCTTAATGAACTATGCAGTAAAGGTTGTAACTTTGATGAGCTGTAAATGACAATTCATTCACAATTGAGATTTAGAAAAGTATTTTTACATAAATGATTAAAAAATAAAAATAATAGTTTACAGTAATAAACAACTTACAGCACAGATGTCCAATAAATATAAAAGTTAAATTGAAATCAACTTGCACAAGTCATGAAATGTAAGATTTTGTAAAAGATTTAAAAGTCTTTTAAATTATTTTTTTCCAGAAACATCACTATTTTATTATTGTCGATTATGACAAAATGCATTTTTCTATGGTTGATTACAAATTAAGTTTACACAAGATCTATAGGAGTTGTATAAATTCTTGGCATACCTACATTCAGCCTATTGGCTCAGAGTCAAGTTTTTTTTGTTTTTTTTTAATCATGAAAATTAGAATACATAAATAATATGATAATGCAAATGACAGTCATTTATTGATTTATATAAACCAACGAATTATCTAATTCTTATTCTAGAATGTCAACTAAATTAAATAGATTTAGATCTATGACATCTATTGTATATCAAATATATACTAGATTTAGATTCTATTTAGACAAACTCACAAAGTAGTACAAGTTATACTAGTTATACTACTCATAGATCTATGTGAGGGTCCCAAACTCAGTTGAAACACTTCAGTGAGACTTCACTAACAGTCAGTAATACTACCTCTACTTACACTAACAGTAACAACATTTGACATTACTAACAGTAATACACTAGGACTAATGACTATAGTGTCTATAAATAGGGCCTGGCTATAATACAAAAAAACAAATGGAAAAGTGATTTGAGTGCTGGGACAAGTCCCAAAAAGCCCGCGGAGTCTGGGAGCGCATGAGGCGACCTGACCGCACTTCCCGTGGTGGAGGCTGTCCAGGCCTGAGCAAGCTATTATACCACAGTGCATGACAGGCCATTGTCCTGTTGGCTCATATTTCTCGCGGCTATGGCCAAATTTTGATTCAATGTGCCCCTGCTGTGGGGAAGAAGAGGAAACTGTGCCTCATATTCTGTTTGACTGCCCCAGACTTGCTGATCTCCGTCTCGACAGATCTGGGAAACTCAATATTCTCTACCTGTATGGCGACATTTATGCACTATGCAAGACAGCAGGGTTTCTGTCCAGGGCTTTTGCAAGAGAGGATTTGAGCCTCTCAAGCCCTCACTCTATCAACTCTAATGGAGTTTGATGATGATGATAAATAGGGCCTACAGACTACTACAGTGAGTGACTACA